CTTATAAGGCTCGATATAATTCCATAAATCAGCTTGAGAAAACTGAGAATAGCGAATGTATGGTAAGCAATTTTGTAGAGTTAACTTTAAGGTTTGGAAGTCTTTTTTGGTCCATTCTTCCATTCTCGGTGATAAAGTATTATGCTTGGCAACTCCCCATTGAATAACCTTTTTCCAAATCTCTATCTCATTCATTTGTAAGTCTTCTCTCTTAAGGAGAGAAACCAACGCCGTTTCATCAAGAGAAGTAAAGTCCTCGGTATCAAACATAAGGTTTGGATATTTTACTATAATATCGTTACAAAATTTTTCTAATCTCTCAAAATTTCGACTCTTGAAGATTGAGTGATAGACAAATGAGAAATGTGTGCGTAACCAAGAAGCTTTGTTTTCAACAATATAAAATTCTAATTGTTGAGACAATTCTTCAAATTTGAGCTTATCGGAAACTATCATTAGACGAAATATAAATTTACTGTCTTTATCTTCTAAATTAACGATTCCCCCGTACACATATCTGCAAAAAAACAGTTTTTAATTAACTTATTTGTTTTATTTTAAATAAAAAATTATGGGTACCTAAGAATTATTTCAATAAATTCAACAGAAATATCGAGTTTTATAATAGCTATAGGACCCTTATCTAGAATGGCTTTAGTTAGCTCTTCACGAAAGTAGGATGATCGATATCGTAAAATCACCGAGTGTGAAGTAAATAGTTTCTTATCTCCCTCGCTGTTCACTTCAATAGTAACATCGTAACATTCTTTATCGTTAAGTATGTCGGTGAAGTCTTTGGACAATTTATCAAAAAATTTTAGGCTCATTTTTTTATTCCTGTGATGTATGAAAATACATGTAAAATTTTCTTTTGATTTACAACAATACTGTACTGTACGGCTTTGCGTCTGTGATACGTAGTACAGTACAGTACAAGTTGTAATAAAATTCGTACATAGAAATACATTATGATACGTATGTACATATAGTACAGTACACCGTTCTGTAGAGTCATCACACCACATTATCTTGATTATCATGATTTTCGTCTGAATGGTGAGATTTAATGTCATGAACCTGAATTTTGTTTACAATGGGTACGAGAATTTGCGTAACATGGCTGAGAACATGAACAGAATAAACAACATAAATTGGCAATAAGGTTATAAACACGTGAATTAATGTATACTTGATTACATCTACATTGGGGAAACAAATTATCAACTCTTGTTTACTGTTTATTTTTTTAAAAAATATTTACTATCATAAGTTCGTACAAAAAACGTGATCGGAGTTATCAAATAGAAGTTCAATTATTATCAGGATAGTGAAGAAGATGAAATGAAAGCAGAAAAAGAAAATAAGGAAACGTTAATAATACGCGTATCGTGAAAATTTTTAAAAAATTTAAAGATACAGATGCAGTGAGAAATCTCCAAGGTATGTCTTTTGCGTTGTATCATAAGAAAGTTTCGGCCAAGTTATCATGTCTCGAGTTGTTTTGTTTCTACTGCAAATTATGCTGGTAAGATTTAGCGACATAATTGCCGATTAAACCACTATGCCATAATATTACACCATATTGTCATTGTCAAAAACACCAATTGAGTAATACTGTACGTACCTATTATAACTATTACCTTATTTAAATACATAGAGCAACCGAAAATTTGATATTTAATTAGGTAATATAGTATTCCTCAAATTGAAAATACAGTATATTGATTGTATCCGTCCGTATGACTTATTTTCTTTTTACTAATTTTATTATAATAAATCGAATTATTCCGGATTTTCTAGCCGTTTTGGTTATTAAAATTGATACGAATTATTGCAAAATAAAATTGAACTTCACCGTGTCGTAATAAGGGAATATTAGAAAATATTCAGGCAATTTAGTAAATGCAAAAGGTTAATATCCTTTAAGAGTTGTTTGTTTTGATGGAATTAAAATCAGCTGTACAATGTTTGTCAGGAGATCAAGGTAATGTTACGTTGTACTTTACATATTTCTGTACACAGAGCCGATCGGTTTCGCGAAGGGCAAAACAAGCAGAAGTCGAAATAATAAAATATTTAGTGCGAGTAGGATGGCATCAGTTAATCATAATACAATACTCAATATGTGTGTACAGCATATTTGCTTTTCTTTGGTTTTCTTATCTCTCATTACAGTATTATATACTATAATTAGATGAAGTAAAAAATTCTTTAATGAAACGTGATGCATATATCCACTTGAAGCAAAATCAAAAGTTTTCTTTGTTTATTGTAATATTTTATTTTTATCGTCAGGCCACGCGAAAATATGTTCGGAGTTAACGAAAGACCCGCCATGTAGCCACAATAAACAAGCTTAATTTAGAATAATTTTAACATCGAATGATCTTACTTCGGGCATAATAGAAGAACGAAACATTCCATTAATATTTTCTTGCGGTATATAAACTACCAGATGCTCTAGATAAATTTTATAAAAACGGTGCACGCACAATACCACGCCTTTATGAAATTTAAATCTTCTCAAGGCCTTATAATGAATAAATTCAAATTAAGTTTACTCTGGCCTTTTATTATTGTCATTGGATTCTTTTCGAGGCAAACTATTGCTCTTGAATGTCGGGATTATACTGATCCATTCTCCCACAAATCCATAAAAGTTAATTGCGACATTATTAAAAACGAAGATTATGCTAAGTTTTTAAACTCAACCAAGTTTGTCTCGCCAAGCAATGCATTCGTAATTGATTTTACTCGCGGTTCCAGCGACGCAAATTTGTGTAAAAAAGCAAAGAATGCCTTCATATCGGCTGGTCAGAGAATCGCATCGGTTATTCAGTTTAATACACCTATAAATGTAAAAGCATCATTTGATAAACTATCAACAGATACTCTTGGTAAGTACAAGGAAAGCCAATGAGCCAATGTAACTTTCTTTCTACGAAATCCTTAAGTTTGACATTTTTACGCTAATCATTTATGAAGGACAAGCGACTCCCGCTCGATCCATTCCATTAAAAGACCGAGATGGAATAATCAGACTCTATCCTCAAGCTCTTGTAAAACAGATGCAGTTTCCTAAACATCCTGAATTTAATAAATACGATATTCTAGCAGAATTTACCACCACAGCTAAATGGTTCTTTAAAGAAGATGTAAATATACAAAAAGACCAATACGATTTGGAATATATCATTACTCATGAGTTTATACATGGACTAGGGTTTATTACTGGCTGGAGAGAGTAAGCCATTTGAGATTATTTTTGATTTAATGTTTTTTCATCCAAGAAATATAAAGATTACTTTTATTTTATGCAGGTGGTTTTTCCCGAGCCATATCCTCTATTTCGAGATGATAGCACAGATCCAAATAAAATGATAACATATACTGGTTTCTCCGAAATGGCCTTTGATAGATACATGATGTTGAATCTCACGAAAAAAACGATGATGACAACTCTAGCTCAAGAATTAAATATATTTGCACCAATAGGAAAGAAGTTTGCATCATTAAGTTCATTTGAAAAAGAATTCCATGGTTCACCCCAAGCTCTTATATCAAAAAATCTATCGGCTGTGGCAATAATCCCATATACTGTGGACTTTGTGACACATGATTCTACTCCGGTTATTCTCGAAACATCATTAAAACTCTACTCTTTTGGTTCAAGTATTTCTCATCTGGACACCTTGTACACAAATACTCCTGATTTTTTAATGGTATACGATGCTCAATACGGTATCCGGTTTGATGATCTTGCTAAAAAATATGGAGGAGTACTGTAATAGGTTCCAAAATCATCAAAGTTTTAGAAACATTAGGGTGCGTATTACTTGATCTAGGCATTTTTTTGTTTAATAACCTTAATACTTAATTTTACGCATCATATATTGTAGATATACCACTCCGAAAAATCCGTCACCTTATAGGCCCAATTTGCCATAGGCGATTGCCAATAACTTCTCCTTTAAACACGTTAATCGAATTGATTATTTTTGTTGCAGTAGTATAATTTATTAATCCAATGGTAACGATTTTTATGGTTCGTATGGCTAATCACATGCAGTAAAAAACCCATATTCGCATAATAATTATCATTATATTGTATTTCATTTACTAAGTACAGTACAGCAATAGCATATCATATTTAAAGAGTTCATATTTGATTATTCATAAATAATATTTCATGATTATTTCCTATTAACGATCAGGAGTGTAAACTGTAAATTTTTCGTGAAGCCATAAGTAACAAAAAATCATAAATATTATCTTGTTTGATTCATTTATAATTACATTAAATCACTGCCTTTCATTTAATAATAAAAATAAATTTATTTTTTTGAAAATCAAATATATTATGATAAGGATGTTTAAAAGTTCTTGTTAAATCTGAACATCTCTAGGATTTTACATCTTTATAACTTAATCAAAAAATTATTTTTGATATCATAAATATATTAATATAATAAAATTTTTACTAAATTTTTCTTTAAAGTTATCGAAAGTTTTTTTAAAAAAAACTAACCACAATTCAATTATATTCTTAAATATAATGATAGTTTTAAAATTATTTACTGTAATGTATTTTTTAAAACTGAGTTTAATCAAACATTATAAAAATATTATTGAGACGTCAAAATTACCTTATAATTTATAATTTTTATCTTAGCATATAACTTTTATCATTAATTCTTACAATAGGGATAAATTCCGAGATTATATAAATTATTGAAATTATAAACTTTTCTGACTTTATTATTTTTGCTGATATTTTTGTTGTCTTAGATGATATATATAAAATTTTGTATTATAAACCTTAAAATTGTCAAATACATGCTTTATATTTTAATTTAAGTACAAATTTATTGCATGGATACTGTATATTTCATTGTTATAATTTGAATAAATGCAAATGTTTTTTGAAAAATACAATTCTCTATTAGATCTAAAACTAATTATTACAAAATACAAATACAGTTGTAAATGGCTATTTGAAAAATCCAATAATTACTTTATTATTAACAAAAATAATTTATAAAAATAATTTATTTTTAATTAAAATACCCAAAATTTTTTATATATTGATAGATTAAGAATTGATTCTGATTTAATTTCATCTCAAACAAGAAATTGCTCAAATAACATAAAAAGTGAATAATAAAGATTTGCTTAGAAAAGAAAAAAATATTTTTATCAAAGTATATTCATAAATTGAAATCTTATGTATCTCGATAAGTTTTCTACTATCTTTATAATTAAAAATTTCTTACAACCCAATTTATTATTTAATCAAGTTATCAAACAGTCAAGTATATTCAATAATTTTATTTTTTATTTTTTTTTTAAGTGGAACGTATGCATGGCATGTGATCTTTATTGATACATTTAATATCCAGACAGACATCAAGTGTCTCTACAAACTAACCGGAAGTCGGTTGGTACATGAATACCCTTTATGTCTCTACAGTTAATCTGCAGTTTAACACTGTCTAGTACATATATTACTATAAGACTAGCTACGCTAACCACTTTTTTTACCTAACTATACATTCAACATCAAGTAGATGTGTCCACACATTAGGTGGAACTTTCGCAGGGAAGGGAATCCTACCACTAGTTTAAATCCGCCTAAACCTGCTGATCCATTATTGCAGAGAGCAGTGTATATGGAATATTAATTATAGAGATTAACTCCAGTCATTTCAATCACCTGTTATCACTGATTCTAGGGATGTGCCACTAGTATAGTGCAACACTACCGTTTTTACCACCTGTGGAACTGGCGTCCTTGCTTGGATTCCGATTTAATCTTGTAGATCCTCACTAG